TTTCTTGTAGCAGTGTTCATAATCAAGCGCGATACGACACCACGCTACAGATCTTATGGAACCACTTCTTACGCTCGTCACATTGCATTCCTTCCTCCACATGAAATAGACAACATAGCTGTTTACATTAGTGAGCAGTGCTGATAACGTAATTGGATCAAGAACTACTAGATAAGCATGAACGAATGTACTATATTTAGAATTCGAAATCAAGCATTCAACAAGTACAAAGCAATCATTAGTTCATTCAAACACCACACTGAACATCTTAAAAATTAACTAAAAATGTTAACACAAAGGTGAATTCGAAAATAAACTCAGACCACAACCGAAAAAATTAAATCAAAGTCGATCAAATATGCATTGATGGAATAAACACACAATAACGAAGCCAACACACATAATTACAAAATCAGTTTAAGTGAAATAAATTAAATTAGGATGGAAACGGTAGTTTTGATAGGTACTGCATAAGAGAAGATAGCCCCCTTTCAAAAAAAGTAGTGAGCTTTTATAAAGGGTTATGAGAACAGCAACTAAGCTGATCCCCGAAATATTGAGGCTCCCGTATCATGTACGACTCACTAAGCTAAACATATTCCATTGTCATACTAGAGGTGACCTGATTACAGTTTTAAAATTATTCAATGAAAAATTTACATGCGATATTCCCTCATTTTTTTTTCTTCCAAAACAGCGAATTTATGAGGACATCTCACAAATATTGAAAAGCCTAGAACAAATTACTTGTCAGCTGACTTTTAACTTTCCCATCGAACAACCGCTTAAATACGTCATTGAAACTCCATCTGTTGACTCTTTCAAAAGAAAGTTGTATCAACTGAAAGATAATTATTGCCAAGAATAACACAAGCCAAAAGCCTTCTGTCCTTTCCAAACTGAATTTGAAACTATAACTAATTTACCATCAAAACAGTAAATATAACTCAACAGGGAAACATACCACTATCTCCTTTTAATGGCATAAGTGTTAGTTCCAGTCTTCAGTCTTCAGTAATAAGGATATTAGGTTAGTGAACCTGTGTTAATCCTAACAGGTTGCCTTCCAGTGAAGGTCCAGTTTCTCCTTGAAAATATTCACTGATGGGGCTGATACCACTTGATCGGGCAAAGCGTTCCAATCATTGACTACTCGATGAGAAAAACGGAACCCCACCTTGAGTTTATTAGATCGTGGTTTATGAACCTTCTTGCTATGACCTCGGAGATTATTAGTGCTGGAGGGAGAAAAAAGATAAGACATATTAACACCCAAATCATAATTAAAGATACGAAATGCCAGTATGCGGTCACCTCATGTCCTACGATACGACAAGGGGAAAAGGTTTAGGCGTTTTAAACGCTCATCGTAAGGGAGTTTAGAAAGACCCTTCACTAATTTCGTTCCCACACGCTGGACACGATCAAGTGAGGTAGTATCCTTTATCAGACATGGGCTAGCTGCTTGGATACAGTACTCTAAATGTGGTCTTACATAGGTGGGATATAAGATTCGAAACATTTCCTCGTCAAAGTATTTGAACGCTCGGCGAAGTGACCACAACGCACAAATCCCTTGACAGCGGCTGCGTTGCAGTGCGCAGTTGTTTTTAAATCGTGACTTATTATTACTCCTAAGTCTTTATGTTCTTGAACGCATGAAAGAGGTTTACCATCAATAGTATAATGGTAACTATTGACGTGACCGATGTGCATTAGCACACTGTTCCTAGAATGGGTTTCTAAGGCCGAACCTCGAGTCCATTTAACTAAATCGTCTAAGTCAGCTTGAAGATCCAGATGACCAGCCTCACCTCTTATTGCTCTCCATATTTCGACATCATCCGCAAATAATAATGTCGACGACCTAAGCAACAGCGGTAACTCATTTACGTTGAGAAGGGATAGCAGAGGGCCTAATATGGTGCCTTGAGGTACACCACTTTTGACCTGCTTTCAATCGGATAGCGTCCCATTGACCCTAACTCTCTGTCTGCGGTCACATAAGAAGTTTCCTATCCACTCCTGTAGAGCACCTATTATTCCGAAGCTTGTGAGCTTCTGCATAAGACCTAAGTGTGAAATCTTGTCAAATGCTTTGCTAAAATCTATGAATATAACATCGACAGCCACACCTTTATCTAAGGCTGCTGTCCAATCCTCTCTTGCAATAAGTAAGTTAGTCAAGCATGAACGCTTGTCACGAAATCCATGTTGCTCAGGGGCTAACAGATTGTGTGAATCCATGTGGCTTAGCAACCTAACCCGAATTATCTTTTCAAGTAACTTAACGACAATGCTAGTCAGACTGACAGGCCGGTAGTTAGATACGATGTGTCTCTGACCATCCTTAAATATGGGACTGACAATAGCATCTTTCCAATCCCTAGGTAGTTGAGCGAGTGAAAAGGACATGTTAAAAAGTGTCGCGAGCGGTCTTGAAATAATGTCCGCAAGAGATGAAAGCAGTCGTGGATGTAGCCCGTCAGGACCCGGTATCTTACAAGGTTTGAGGTTAATTATGAACGGAAGGACAGTTTCTTCAGTCACCTGTACAGATTCAATGGCTAGTATCTCGGCGTGATTGAGACAAGTATTTGTTACAATAAACGTAGAGTAGACTTAGCTGAAGTAGTTTGAAAATGTCTCAGCTTTGGCTCGATCTGATTCAGCTAGTAAATCTAAATTATCGTGTAACAATAATGGGGGGAATACTATCACTACGTTTTATTTGCCGTTTAACATACGAAAACAATCGTTTTGGACAAGTACGGCTATCATATACCAACTTTCGTTCGTAAGTAGTACGGGATTTAGCTATTGTTTTCCTACAAATATTCCGGAGTTTTTGGTACTCACGCTTAAATGATGCATGACCTGTCAACAAGAATAAGTCCCAGAAGTGTTTCCTACGCTTTAACAGCTTACGGGTTTCCTTATTAATCCATGGAGGGCATATATTTGGACAACGAGTGTTTCCATCTGCATTTTTTGCCTCTTTTTATAAAAGTCAATTTGAACATTATTATTGTTTTTGTAAACTCAAACTGAAACTAAATACATGATATCCTCAACACGCGGTTTTTTGAACTATTTGTTACACCCAGCTCTGGTTTTCATGCTTATTGCGGATTTAGGCAGAATGCGGTTGGCGTGGCGGTTTTCTGTGAACGCTTTTAAATGAGGACGGGGATCTTGTTGGGACAATTTTGATTCATCTCAACACTTCATATACATATGAGAGTGCTTTTGAAGAACATTTATAGGTATTTTTCTTACATTTCCAAATAATCCACAATCTCTTTGTGTGAAAAAAACAGTGTATAAAAAATCTGTGCCCCTCGTGTTATGAATTTACTATTATCCATTCTCGTAAGAGATATCATGGGTTGTGGACGGCTTTCAATAACGTGGATATAGTTCGCCTCAAACCCGAGAAAAAAAACAATGAAATTTTAGCCTAGACTAGAAGAACTTTCACATTATTTAGAACTTTTGTTGTTTCTTGTACAGTTGATGGTTGTATTTGGGCAAGCCTTGGTTTTACCTTTTGCACCTCATAAAGTGTGATATGAATTCTCGGTCAGTTAAATCACTAAAGCTGTTTGTAGTCCTAACTATTCACAGGCAAACTACATAATGTTTACGATAATGACCGAAGCGCTAGGCTAAATAGGTTTCGGCCTTTAACTAAACATAAGTTTCCCAACTCTCATTGTCTTTTATTTACTTTTTGAAAATATTTGAACAGTATTTATATTCTAGGATATAATATAAAAAGACCTAGTGTTTTATAAATCACTGCACTATCGTCAGATATTTCCTAAGGTTTGTAGATCATGAGCTTAGAGTATCCCTTGAAGTTTCCTATAATTGAATCTTTTGTATATTCCAAGGGTATCTCTCCATTTCGAGATGAACACTCATGATTCACTAATACTTTTTTAGCTTCTCGAGGCTTAAAGTGTAGTTTGGAATACTTTAATAGAAAAATTGCTGATCTCCTGTTCATTCTTAAGCATTTTCTCCATGTAGAGTTAGATTCTCTATAATATATTCGTGCCATAAACATAAATGGTTTTGTGTTCGATACTTTTCGATGTGAGGCATGTAGCTGTTCCATCATCAGTTTTTGGAAAATAAGTCAACCTACAAGATTATAGTTTTGTATGGGCCTTGGTGCGAGATAAAAAAAACTGGACAGCATTTAGTCGTGTTTGAAGTGGTGATGGATAGTAGTTTCAAAATCTGGATTTTTTTTAAAATATCAATAATTAACAAGATTTTTGACGCTTCTAGTTTCTCAGAAAAGTTTAGGATTTTATTCAGGTTTCTTATCTCTGATAATTGTAAATGATGGAACCTTCATTACAAGTAAACCGAGCTTCTTGCCGAATGTTTTCGTTTAAGATCTAGTTATTCACTCCTACTTCCTGTATTGGAGCTCGGACTGACAAAATACTGGCGGGACGACGAGTAGTTCACTTAATAGTCCGCTTCTTCATGCTGCGAATTAGCATGTCGGATAGCTTAAAATTGATCTAGAAACAACAGGCACTTCTAGTCTTCACTTTTATTCTTACCTTACACTGGATTTTGACAAAATCACTTATCTCCTATTTATACATAACCTTGTAATCTCTTAGGTTTCTATGCCGTTTTATCATTCAAAGTGAAATTGTTGAGATCGAATACAGCCTGGTTCACCACCAGCATATAATATATCGGGTTGATTACAACAATCACTAAAAAACTAGTTCCTAGTTTGAATTTGTCTCGTGACTTAACAAATTAGTTTTATACAGGAAACATTCTTGATTGTTACTACAACAAGTTAGGTGTATGATGTTTTATGAAGTAACTTTAGTATACTGATATGTAGCTTTTCATGTTTAATTATGATGTCGTCTTAAACATTTCGGTAGTGTGGAGATTTTAATTTTTTTCTGTAGATAATAACTTTCAGTCGGCTATAAGTCTTCCTAAAGTACTGCAACAAGATGAATTTATCCTGTATTATCCTATTGATTTTGGCATGTATGTCAAGAGTTTTCAGTCATGGCAAAAGGTATCAAATAATCCATTTTCGAGCACGCTTCCATCAATCACCTTTTCAGATATTTATTTTATGATGTGTTATATGGAGAAGGTTTTAATTTGAGACGTGATGTTTATATTCGGATTGCCAATACAGTACGGTAAGTGTGAATTTATTAAATACAAACTGAATAAAATAACAACTCAATGTATCTAATAAGTACGGAATTTCGCACCTCACTTTAAACCTTACATTGTTTTGCGATTGGTGTAAATAATAGTGTCCACGTGCCTAAATTCAATTAGACAAGGCTGGGTTTGAACTCTCAACTCGGTTGTTCAGGGTTCCGTTATCGGATGATTAAGCCATCGTTACAGATAGTGATGTAATTATTGTCGCTAGTAAGATTACGTAATTCAAAACATTTTACAAAACAAATGTAATTTTTATGTTCGAATAATTTCCTCTTTAAATTTTTCGCAAACATGATTCTAGATTGTTAAACTTTGATATTAGCTTGTTCATTTATCCGTTATATGTTCTCTCTAATTATCGTGACGTAAATCGCGAGTGTGTTTATAGATTTATGACAACACAAATATAAGTAAGGATCCTCTAATGGAATTTTTGGCTTGAGAAAGCTGTTTTATTTTCACTCAGTGTTTGGATAGGGAATTAAATGTCTAAGTGTTTGTTAGTTTACCAACGCAGTGGCATTTCATTCTATTAGTTGCTTTTAGAGTAACTCAGTGGTATGAAGATAATTTATTCACAGTGCTTAGTGTGTATTAGTTATTTGCATTGTTTTCATTGTCATATATTAAATATATTTACTTGGCAGATTAAAAAAAAGCAATTAAGAAACAGTGATGGAAACTAGTTTGTGATTCAAAAATTCAGTATGACGTGTTTTATTTAAAGTTCATTACAGATCTAATGTACAAAATACTAGTTTATTTACTCAGCTTTGTGGGCCGCTGTAAGTTGTGGTGGTACTTCCTAACTGCCTGAAGCAATAAAGAGAGATAATGGGGTTTGGACATAGAATCTGTTGATGCTTTATCCAGTAAACTACTATTTCGAAGTTTACACTAATTGTCATAACGGATATTTGACTCGTTTCTTGTACTTTGTAGACGCGTCAATTTCGTATAACGTTGTTTACTATCTGAAGGAGCGACTTGCTCTTGGCTACTTTGACTTTCTAAAAGAAAATAGCGTGTACGGAATTTATTTTCTTGAGTTCTGTCTCTATAAATTCATAGGAGATTACCTTTCACACAACTCTGGATCACACGCCGATTAGGAAAGGTAATAAGAAGTTCATCTGAGCAGAACGTTTTTTGAGAGATCTTGAATGTCTGTTTTTCAGTATTTTTGCCACAGAATCTTCTTTAAACTAAATGCTCATGAAGAAAGTTTCCTTTGATGCTGTGGAAACTCTTTCACATCGTTGTTTTGGCTTCAGACGTTTTTCAATCAATCTAGGTGAACATCCATTATTGATCAGTGTCTGTCTTAGTTTACCAAGTTCGATATCGATTGTTTCCTCGGCGCGGATGCGTCTCGCCCTTTAACAGAGATAATGGATCAGGTTTCTCTTTCGCTTCAGTGAGACTTAACTGTGAAAATTCGTGTATTGATCATTCCATGTTGGCTTTCTATATATCAATCTTTGTAGGGAACCGTCAGGTCTCCTTTCACGGAAACAGCTGAGGAGTGAAATTCTGAATCCGGCTCTGAACTTAGTTGATTTATAACAGTCATTGAACGCGTCTAGAATGTCGTTAACATTGACATTTTTGTCACAAATAACGAAAGTGTCGACTAAGTATCTCTTACATAGATAGAAGCTTTCAATTATTGGTTCAAGTATAGTGTTTTAGTTGACATTAGTCATTTCATTTTAATTCTGTGGGGGCTGTGATACTGCATGGGTGCCCAGACCGAAGCAGATGGTTTTCCTAGGGGGCCACACCCCGAGCCTTCGACCCGAACGTCTGACCCACAAGGCAGTGGAGCATCGTAAGGAGATGCAGTCCCATGGTAGCCGGTGACCAAGAATTTGGTTCATACGCCATTTGTTCCTTCTGGATACTAGAGCTCATGTGCATCACTGGTTTGGGATCCGGTTAAAGCACCGGACATTCGCTTTTCGTCCTCGCATTTTCGTAAACAAAAGTAGTGCCACGAGAAGGCAGTGAGTAGGACTTCCCCGACGGAGGCTATATATGCGTGGCCATGTGAGAGCATTTCGAGAGGGAGAGCGGACTCTCCCCACTCTCGACCGTACCAGGGCATTTGGGGGCCTAAAGCTATTACTCATATATTTTTATATTGGAGTTCAGTTTACTATGTTTTTAAAGGTAAAAAAGGCATTTATTTACATTTCATAATGAGTTGATGCTGACAACACAGTATACATTACAGTTTTATGTATTAAAAACTTGCAATGATCAAAATAAAATTCACATATATAATCAATTAATAATTGTAAATTAAATGTTATTAAGGAGAGAGAGAGAGAGAGAGAGAGGAATAACAATAATCATTATTCATACTTGTTGCATAACTTCCGGTGCCATCCAACAAGGTGTACCAACAAATGTATATCGTCTTAAATCAACACTACCAGTTGCAGTAAGCGGTTGAGTAGCTAAAAATCCAGCAACTCCAAAATCTGCTATTTGAATAATGCCATCATCTTTGACTAATAAATTACCACATTTTAGATCGCTGTATTTATTTAAGAGTAATGATATTTTAATGAAATGGGTATATAGAATAAAAAAGGGAATAAGTTAACTCCCCACTCTCAACTGTACCAGGGCAATTAATTGTAATGATAATTATTGGACATAAGCTGGCATTAGTTCGTATTAAAATGGAACTACAGAGTGTGTCATTCAGAAGTTAGACGCAGGGTGCTGAGTAACAATGGCAAACTGGTTGATGAGTTAGTGAATCCTTATCTATTGAGTTGGCTGAGCTATGTATTATGCATGATCAACAAAGTTTCTTCTTTATACGCGATACCTACTGGTGTAGGTCTAGAGTCAAAGAGAGCTAGGGTTAGCCAAACTAAAACGTGACATCAGTTCATGAAATTTGCCTTGATAATTTCTTCCTGCTATGCTCATGTGATGTAACAGCTTGAAATTTGTCGGGTTCCACACTACTTACAACTAATTGACTTCATGAATGAATTAAAGTGACAATTTTGAACACATTATAATCGCTAGCTGGAATCTTAGTTAGAAATTCCCCATTTATTTGTGTTTTTTAGTTTATTTATATTATCACGAATTTTTTACAGCCTTTTAAGAGACCCAAGTCAAATACCAAATTTTGCTTTACACAACGTAAACGTAAAAAATTTAACTGGTGATGATTGGATTCTAGTTTTACCACCTTGGGGTCCACTTCCTCATTGGTTCAATGATAGATCATATGAAAGATATACAAATCATAGTTATTTTAATAATTGGTCAGGCATTCCATGGTCAATGTTTTTTGATTTAAACAGTCTCTCATTATTTATACCAGTTATGGATTTAATTGAATTTCAACGCAGTAATGGTAAATGATTTTGATTTCAATTTTTAGGAAATGCCTATTTATGCATAAATAATTCAATAATAATATGCGTCTTATTTACCAAATAAGGGTATTGTGCACCCAATTTTAAACAGGAGATTTTATATGTATGAAGACTAGTGTGACTTACTGGGCTTTCCTTACCAAGATAGAATAAAGTGTGTAAGATGAAAAGTTGTTTTTTAATCTAGATGTTATAATGACGCTAAAATGATTGATGAACTGAAGCGATGTTTTCTTTTAAGCAGTTGGTTACCAAATTTTAACCGATTGGAGTTTACGAGATGGAAATAATGAACAACAGGTTAAATATTTGAATATGTACAAGAGAATTAAAATTGTCATCGGTATCCAGAAATATCCAACCGAGATACTATGAATTATCAGATAAATGCCTAGTTCCTAATGGAAAATGAAAATCCTGAATTAATCGATGATTCTTTACTTCTTTCCGTTGCAACAATAAGAAGAATAATGGCTATTACATTTATAAAGAATGAACTGCCTTTTCACGCCACAACAACGTGAGATGAAATCAAGAAGTCTAATGACAAAAGCAGTCAAAATAGTGTAGTAGCAACGATAATGTGAACGGATCAAGATCGGGAAAGTAGTTTTTAATAACAGAGTTTTATGATATGTATGAAGGAGTATTAGTGTAAAAGATGGCAATAAGAGAAAGAATTTGCGTTTATTGTAAGAAGTTACGAATCATTTACATAATACATGTACATAGCCTTCAATCATTCATTTAAATCACTGGCCCTACATATGCAACCTGAGCCGTCTTCTCGTCTGTTTTCCAAGTGTTCTGTCTACACCGTGCTGTCGCTGTACTGATCTTTTCTCCGTCTGACGACTATTACAAATTGGACGCCACGTCCCGCCACATAATAACTTACAAACAATCTTGTGAGTAGCGTTCGCTACACTAGAACGGAAGGCCATGAGTAAAACAAAGACTAAATGTGTCTATGCTACATTGATCGATTTTGAATCGTGTCTCAAATCACTGGTCATGCTTGTCACACGCACCGCACTTAGGTTGTCTGCATCTATCAACATGGCTTCACTGATTGATATCACATTATGATCGATGTTGGCTATGGGTAAGCCTACTTAACGTATACAATATTATCATATGGTGAATTGGTTAAGGTTAGACACTAGCCCAGTTAGAAGCCGGTTCAGTGGTCTAGAGGTTAGGGGTTTATGCACGAGACTGAAGGTCTTAGTTTCGATCCCCGCGTATAGAGTGGCGGATGTCGGCTGTTGAGGAATCTCATACTAAGACGAGACGGCCGTTCATTGCTTCTTGATTTCAAATAGTGGTCTAGGCAAGATCAGTTTATGGTTTAAATTGTCAATGTTCTACATTCTCCTAAAATCTCCCCTATTAACATGTAATAATAGTTTATTAGCTTGATTGATTGGTTGCGTACAGTCAGTCAATAGACAATGTTTGGACTTAGGAAGTGATTACATTGGTTTTCGCGCGTAAATTCGGACATTCAGTACTTTTTATATGAGAAAGTAAATGACCTTACCATTATTATTTTCCAAAATACTTCATTCTTAAAATTTATTTTCATAAATTTAGTATTGGATTCACAACAATCATTATTAAACAGGTCATCCAATCATCCGTTGACAATCGATTTAGCTCTTCAGTTAGTTCGTGAAGATTTTAATGGAAAATTGGGGCAATATTCAAATGTTAATAATCGTAAAGTAGATTTTTGTCCTTTTGAATTACGTGAATTATATCGATTAAATGTAAGTTAATGAATAACCAAGCATCTAATGCTGATTTTAATGTTCTCATCTCATATTATCCACATAGTTATCAATGTATACAGCTCTTCCGGTCATTTTATCGTTCATTTAGCAAGTGAATGAGGGCTATAGAATAAATTATTACTTCCGTTAGATATTTTGTCTCAAGTCGTAATATTTATTTATTTTAACACATAGATATTGGTCCAGCTAGGCACCAAATACATATGCGCCACACAAATCTCGTTTTATTTGTGTGAGGGCTGTGATACTGCCCGGGTGCCCAAACTGTAGCGGGTGGTTTTCTTAGGGGGCCACACCCCGAGCCTTCGACCCGAACGTCTGACCCACAAGGCAGTGGAGCATCGTAAGGAGATGCAGTCCCATGGTAGCCGGTGACCAAGAATTTGGTTCATACGCCATTTGTTCCTTCAGGATACTAGAGCTCATGTGCATCATTGGTTTGGGATCCGGTTAAAGCGCCGGACATTCGCTTTTCGTCCTCTCATTTTCGTAAACAAAAGTAGTGCCACGAGAATGCAGTGAGTAGGACTTCCCTGACAGAGGCTATATACGCATGTCCATGTGAGAGCATTTGGAGAAGGAGAGCGGACTCTCCCCACTCTCGACCGTACCAGGGCATTTGGGGGCCAAGCCCTAATATTCACTACGTATATGTTTTTCATCAGGCATGTTAAACTACGTTCTACTGACATGTTCATAGCAGATAGTTGATGATAATCCCAGATAGTTGGAATAGAATTTTTAATGAAAATTGCGTTTTCGCTTACCAAATAAACGAAAAGTTAACTGAAGGTACTAAATACAACAGATTTATTTAAGATTGAAAATGTCGTCGATAAACTCAGCGTTTTCCCTTTGTTTTATTTCTAAGAAATACGTTATTGTTTTAACCAATTTTTGTTGATTAGTCAGTCATATGCAACGTAGTGAGACCTGGTGAAAATGTATTTCGGTTAAAATTGACACGTCTCACAGTGATGCAGTGATCTAGTGATGTTGGTGTAGCTGTTTTACTCCTGACATATAAGAGTAAATAATTATTCACTATCATACTATGAAATTGTTAAATTTATTCACATTTCAAAGCATTTACATGTATGACTATCAAATTAAATATTGTATTATGTTTGTGAACCGCTATACTAATAATATTCACTAATTCCATTCTTATGTAGGACTCAACATTGTCATCATCATCGTCATTCAGTCGACCAATGGAATTATTTGAAGGAAGTAGTTTTAATTTACAAAATGGTATATTACCAATGAGAGCATCTGCATATGATTGTATCACTGGGGATTTAGAACCTGTTCATTTAGCACCATTCTTAATTCAATTAATTAAAAATTCTGAAAAGTCTATTACGTAAGTTTTTGTTATCCAGCTATATTTTTCTATCAATGTATTTCAGTCGGATTTCTGTCGTTTACCCAAATAAATTGGTCTATTTTACAACAGCTAGTTGACTGTAGTGATTTATTTGGTTTAATTTGTAATAATGTACTCAATTAATAGGATATTTGTTATTACATATGATTTGATGAGTATAGGAGGTTTTTTATAATTTAGTGGAAGGAGATTTTGCGGATCGAATTTATTTGTAGGTTGTACTTGTTACAGATTGATCTCAATTAGGGCGTAGCATCAAAAACCAGATGACACTGGATAAATGTTTCGTCCCGTTATGGGACTCATCAGCAGTGGATTGAAAAGTATTGAAAGCAAGACCCTTGGAGAGCATTTAATCACACGATCCACTATGTCAAAAAATCTGTGGTACACATTTCCCCGACCGTTGTTGCTACCTTGACGTGGTGGTGGGGCTTGCCTATCGTGATAAAGCAACCGACCTATACTGTCTGGAACAACCGTTCCTCAAGTTCCTACCATGCCAGACAGGTCGGTTAAAGAGCGGTAAGACTAAAAGCAACAAAACCAAGGTCCGAAGACGAAGTCGTACTGCCGACTGTACAGAGGTGTGACAGCAGTAAGGTGTTTCCTTCAGACAACCAGCATGACAGCGATGCTGCCTTCCCACAAGGAGGGGAGGGGTTAGAAAAGGTCGACCTTGAAAATGCACACCTCGCCTTATCCCACGGATATCCGTCTCCGGCGGTAAGGTCTCAACAAGTACGGAGCTAACACAAAAATTACTCATAAAAAGGTCGTGTGTGACCGACCTCAAGCAGTTGTCCCTTGGGCACTGCGGTCACGCACTCAGGTCACTAAGAGCACCTCTAATTCAATTTCCTTTTAAAAGACCTCCAGCAGAACTCTCCCACAGTATGGGCAACCGGGAAGTGATAACCACCCTCATACCTCTAACAGCACTCAAGATCAATGATACACATTCCCAACTTTGATCAGTTTAATAGATAACGCGATAATCACCGAATGGTAGATTGTTATTAAAGTTCGTCACAGTGTATATTATCTGGATTTATTAATTTCAATATGATTATGTGCGTATGTTTTTACCGTGTTTACAGAACGTTATACTTAGGCTCAGCTCAGTCAATTATACACGGTCATTGGAGTGAATGGAGTCAAGAATATTGGACTGTAAGTTTTCTTTCTATTATTTCTATGTATAGATCATTATGGTTAATGTGAGTCAGTCAGCTAAGGTGATCAAAAAATACGTTCATATTTTAAAATTATGTTAAAATGAATCAGATCTAAACATATTATCAGTTCATAACGTTATTGATTGTTGGTCTTAGGTGGATGTAATTAATAATTTTAGAGACTATAGGACAAGAATCTAACAAAAACACAATGAAAATAAATATATTAATTTTTTGTAGAACAGTTTTAACAGTTCTATCTCTCCTAAACATTCATCCCATTAATGAAATTCAAATTCATTTTACTTATTGTTGCAATGGAATCTCTTGTAGGGTCATGGGTAGATACGACATAGAATTAGAATGAAATATCTATCCGGTACTCATATGCATTTTAGCTTATTTAAAAAGAGATGGGCATTTTTATGTGGTAGTAGCTGAGGAGTTTGTTCGATCAACATAATTTCTAACATTCTATCTTCAATAAATCAAGTAACACTTAAGTTGAGGTTGAATACTGTTTATATGGGAAAGCTAAACAATTTTCAGTTACAGCACTGTATATATTATTGGTCAAATTCGGAACGAATACTCTACTAGTATTCTCCGACCTGAATGAAAAGTTGGTTTACGAATTCGGTAATGGGGGAGGAATATAACACAAAATAAATATTTTAATAATAAATAAATGAATAAGATAACCACAATTGACGAAAAACAAAAAAAGAGAAAAAAATGGATTACCAGTGTAATAATAAGTTTATTAATGTCTCTTTTTGAATGTATAAATCCGGTTTAAGTTTTTTTATCGCAATCCATCCAGCGAAACGGAGAGTAGTCGTACTTCTTTGTCTATTAATAATTTTAAAAGCGTGAGAAATGTCACTGGTACGCCCGGTGTCAAGTAAATGCCGAGCTATTGCACTGTTGAGAGCCTTAGTCCCTCGCAGCCTCAAGTTCTTTGGAACATGCTCAGAAATGCGAATATGCACTCTTCTCTCAGTTCTTCGAATGTATGTGCTTTGGCACGTACATGTGAATTGGTAAATGCAGTTGGAGCTACTAAGAAAAGAGGACTTGTCGATTTTAGTTTGTTTAAGTGAGCAGTTCGTTTTCCATACTGTCGTTAGTTTTGCTGCTGGCTAGGCCACTTTCAACGCGGAATTTAATCTGTGATTAATTAATCCAGCAATTTCATCTCCTTTGAAACGTAGATATAAGAAGCAAGTTTTCTTTTCTACTCTATCGTACTTTGCCCGAGGATTGGTTTTTGCATATTTGTGGATGAATTTCAACGGGTATGCATTTTCACGTAGAACATTAGTGATGAGAGCAATCTCCTCATCCAGGCATTCCTTTGAACAAATTTTACGAGCGCGGTCAAAAAGGGTTCGTACAATACCCTTTTTGTAACTCATTGGACAGAAACTATAGTAATTGAGATATAGTCCACTCCAAGTATTTTTTTTGGCCCCCAAATGCCCTGGTATGGCCGAGAGCGGGGAGGGTTCGTCCTCCCTCTCGAAATACTCTCACACGGCCACGCGTATACAGCCTCTGCCAGGGAAGTCCTACTCACTGCATTCTCGTGGCATTACTGTTGTTTACGAAAATGAGAGGACGAAAAGCGAACGTCCGGCGCTATAACCGGATCCCAATTCTATGGTGCACATGGGCTCCAGTATCCTGCGGGAACAAATGGCGTATGAACCAACTTTTGGTCACCGGCTCCCATGGGACTGCATCTCCTCACGATGCTCCACTGCCTTGTGGACTAGACCTTTAGGTCAAAGGCTCGGGGTGTGGCCCCCTAAGAAAACCACCTGCTTCGGTCTGGGCACCCGGGCAGTATCCCAGCCCACTCACTAAAACTATGATGAACTATATGCTTATAGAAAGTATTCGTTTCTCTCCGACTAACATTGAAATGACTGGTATTATTATTATTATTACTATTATTATTATTGTTATTATTATTATTATTATTATTTACTACGTCATTTATTCACTATCTCCTATTTCTACTTTTTGTATCCGCTTCGACTCAGACAGCAGCTCGCCTATGGTGAAAATTCAGCTTTATCTAAACGTTCTCGAGTCACTGCCTGGTTGAAAATTGTATGTTACTACCGAATATGAGTACTGAAGCAGTTTTTCTGAAACCACGTGCACCATTCAAACTGGCCGCCTTCAACGTTCGCACACTTATGCAGGTCGGACAACAGATAGGGCTGGTTATGTCTTTGGAAAGTCTTAATATTGATGTGTGTTGTCTATCCGAGACCCGTATTCAAGACTCTGGTGAAGTACTACAAGTTCGCTCTCCATCTGTCACTTCAAAAAGCTTGTTTTATGTGCGTTTATCCGGGGACCCTGTGGCATCTTCGTCTGGTCTTGCTGGCGTTGGTGTCGCACTAAGCGCAAGAGCTGAGGCAGCACTAGTCGACTGGATCCCCATTAACAGTCGGTTATGTGCTGTTAGATTAGAAAGTTCCATCAAAGTGAGAAGAAATCGGCGTGAGAAACGATGTCTTTTCGTCATCTCCGCCTATGCCCCGACAGATTGCAGCCCGGATGCAATCAAGGACGACTTCTACCATCAGCTAACTGTTCTTCTCCAGAAAGTGCGTTCGACAGATATTGTAGTACTAGCTGGAGACTTCAATACTCAGGTCGGGCGTCTAGGCACAGAAGAGAGTCGTTTAGGTGGCCGATGGGGACTCGTTGGTCGCAGGACAGATAACGGGGAACGTCTACTGCAACTATGCACAGACCACAACCTGTTTCTGGCTAGCACTAACTTTCGGCACAGTCATCGCCGATGTGCCACCTGGTGTCCCCCTTCTGCATCTCAAGCCTGGACTCAGATTGATCACATCGCGATCAGCTACCGCTGGCGCGGTTGTGTACAAGACTGCCGCTCCTTTTGGAGTACCTATCTGGAATCTGATCATGCTCTGGTCTGCGCCAATCTTACCTTACTTTTCAGTGGACAACGAAGTGACCGCCACCAAAGGATTGATGTTAGCAAGCTGGCTGCAACTTCTGTTGCTAGTAAGTACCGAACCGAGCTAGCTTCTACGCTAGCCACCATTCCACCGAAAAGTATAGATGAGCATTGGTTGCAATTGCATGACGCCATGAAAATGGCGGGTACAGTCTGTTGTGGGTTTGCGAAACGTCCCGCTTACAAGCACTGGGTTTCTTCTGGTTTCTTACAACTGATTGAAGCCCGTCGGTCTACTCCGGGTGACCGTGAGTTTGACCACAGACGAAGGATGTTACGTAATGAAATCGGGCAAAGCTTGCGTAAGGACCGAGAAGCCTGGTGGTCGGAGCGTGCCAGTGAGTTGGAAGCAGCAGCTGCATCTGGTAATTACCGGAAGCTCTTCCAACTCATCCGAGCCACTGGCAGCAAGAAGTTTGGTGTGAGCGAAACAATCTGCGAGGATGACGGAACGCCAATCACTACCATCCATCGACGTCTTGGACGATGGGCAGAATTCTTTGAAGGGCAGTTCAACTGGCCTGCTGCTCCGGCAACATCGGTCAGACTGTCCTGCCCTCCATGGCCGGTGACGACTGATCCACCAAATGAGACGGAAGTCCGCAAGGAACTCCAACTCTTGAAACGTTACAAATCACCGGGCCCAGATGACTTACCTCCGGCTCTTTTTAAAGATGGTGGTGACTTTCTGACTAAGGGACTGACGACGTTGTTTACAAATGTCTGGGAACAAGAGAGTGTACCAACGTCATAGAATGAGTCGATAGTTGTCCCTATCTTTAAAAAGGGTTCACGTTGTTCCTGTAACAACTATCGGGGGATAAGTCTACTTCCGATTGCGTCCAAGCTATTGGCTTCCGTCATACTTCGTAGGTTGTTCAGAACCCGAGAAGGATTGACTCGCGAGGAGCAGGCTGGGTTTCGTTCTGGTCGAGGATGTATTGATCATATCTTCACCCTCCGCCAAGTGTTAGAACACCGCCATACTTATCAAAGGCCAACAATCGTAGTGTTTCTTGACATCAGGGCCGCCTTCGATTCGTTGGACAGAACTGTTCTCTGGGATTGTCTATTGAAGAAGGGTGTGCCTGAGAAGTTTATTAACATCCTAAAAGCTTTATACACAAACACCTCAGGCAGAGTGAGGGCATACAACCACCTTTCTCCACTATTCCATTCGAGCAGTGGGGTTAGGCAGGGTTGCCCAATCTCACCATTCCTCTTCAACTTTGCCATCGATGACATTCTGGAAACAGCTCTGACGGATGTAAGTAATGGTGGTGTGGATCTGTTGCCTGGAGAAAGACTTCTCGACCTTGAGTATGCGGATGATATTGTCTTACTGTGCGATAATGCCCAAGCCATGCAATCCGCACTTAATCAGTTGGCAATCAATATCCGTAAGTATGGTATGTACTTTGCACCTTCGAAGTGCAAAGTACTTCTACAAGACTGGCAGGATTCTAATCTTGTACTCACTCTGGATGGTGAGCAGATTGAAGTAGTCGAGAAGTTCGTGTATCTAGGTAGCTGCATAAGTGCTGGTGGTGGTGTGAGTGATGAGATCAATGCACGTATAGTGAAAGCCAGAGCGGCTTATGCCAATCTGGGCCATCTTTGGCGCCTTCGTGATGTTAGTCTGGCTGTAAAAGGTCGGATCTACAACGCGACGGTGAGAGCAGTTTTTCTCTATGCTTGTGAAACCTGGCCTCTCCGAGTTGAGGATGTTAGATGACTCTCTGTGTTCGATCATCGCTGTCTCCGAAGGATTGCTGGCATCCAGTGGCAACACCATGTTAGTAATGCAGAGGTTCGGTCACAGAGACGATAATGAAATTGGTGTCACCATCTTGAAACACCGACTTCGGTGGCTTGGACATGTTCTACGAATGTCGTCCCAGAGAATTCCACGTCGTGCATTATTTGCCGACTCTGGGACTGGTTGGAAAAAGCGGAGAGGTGGTCAGTATATGACATGGTGTCGTGGTATGAAAGAAAGATGCAAAGGGCTAGCTCCTGTTGGTCCTTCACGACTCCCTGGCTGGGGTCCGAGAGACGGTGTAACGCAGTGGCTAGAGACGTTATCAGATATGGGTCAGAATAGAAGCCAGTGGCGATCGTGCTGTAACCTTCTTTTACTTTCTTCATAAAAAGTGGTTGTATCTTCCTTAACTGAAAGATTTCTTCTGATTGTACCTTTCCGTTTCCCCCACCATTGTTCTCTCCCTCTTTTTTTTATAATTCCCCACGTTCATTACTTTTTTTTTCTCTTTTCTCCTTCTCTTCAAATTATCATTGTTTTGTGTGGCGCATATATATTTGGTGCCCCCCTGTACCAATATTTATGTGTTCAAATAAATAAATAAATAAATAATAAATAAATAAAAGTATTTTTTTGATGAATGGGTCTATGTAATGTGCCATCAGATGTTCGTCTGATCCCAATATCAAGGAAATGGAATTTACCTTCAACTTCCTTTTCCATAGTAAATTCTATATTGTTATGTGCTTTATTGAACAGATCAAGTAGTCTAATGGCGTGCTTATGATTGTTACAGACGAGAAATGTGTCATCGATGTATCTACAGTAGAATGTAGTATCGTCAATTGCGTGCTTAAGCTTATTTAGTTCCAGGTATCCCATAAATATATCAGCAAGAATTGGGCCCAACGGGCTACCCATAGCAACTACATCAATTTGGCGGTAAAAGATATTATTGAATTGAAATTGTATGTTTTTAGTACACAATAAAGGAGCTGTTTAAAATCATGGATTGGTAGAAGTAGAAGTTCAGGATATTCACATATGATCTCTACCGTTTCTTCCAAGGGGATATTTGTGAAGAGCGATGAGACGTCAAATAAAACCATAAATTTATCAGAAGCATTTAGGTTGTCGAGTTTTTGTGCGAATTCAAAACTGTCTTTTAGACTGTAGGGTGCTACTTTCATTCGGATTGGTTCTAGGCACTTTGTCAGCCAGCGGGTGAGTTTATGGAAGGGCGAATTAGTCATGGATAATATATACAGTGCTGAAACTGAAAATTGTTTAGCTTTCCCATATAAACAGTATTCAACCTCAACTTAAGTGTTACTTGATTTATTGAAGATAGAATGTTAGAAATTATGTTGATCAAACAAACTCCTCAGCTACTACCACATAAAAATGCCCATCTCTTTTTAAATAAGCTAAAATGCATATGAGTACCGGATAGATATTTCATTCTAATTCTATGTCGTATCTACCCATGACCCTACAAGAGATTCCATTGCAACAATAAGTAAAATGAATTTGAATTTCATTAATGGGATGAATGTTTAGGAGAGATAGAACTGTTAAAACTGTTCTACAAAAAATTAATATATTTATTTTCATTGTGTTTTTGTTAGATTCTTGTCCTTTAGTCTCCATTATTATTGTACTGTTATGCTATCATTTTTCTCTTGTTGTGTATTACAATTTTGATATTTAGGTACGTCGAAGCATTACAATAGCAAATCATTTACGTGATATTGGTGATAATTACCGTGCAGCTTATTTACATTCTAATGATATTTCAGATCGTACAGTACCACCATCAATAGTTGAAAATCTTGGTCCAGGTTCCAGTTGGTTACGTTCACAATGGCCACTTTCACCAGCTCTAGGTGGACCATATGTAGCGGTTCATTGGCGTCGTGGAGATTTTGTTACTACAAGTACTAGCGCTACAGCAGCAACTGTTACTACTACTAGTCGATCTCCTAATAATGTTTTAGCAGCCCAACAAATTCTAAATGCTGTCAAGATATTCAATCAGTATGAAGATCAATACATCGATACAATTTATCTAGCCACGGATGCTGATAAAGAAGGTTAGTATTAAAAAAAACTTTTATATGGACTGTAGTGAGAAATATTTATTCATATCTTCATTCTATTCCGTTAGAGGTGGTCATAATAGTAGTAGGATACCAAAAATGAGGCGTCCATCTATTAAGAATGCACAATCAACTTGTGTTTTTTGTTTATATCACTTGGCAAAAACGACTTCACCGTAACGCGTATACACGTGTGTATGGTAATATCTTGTGTAATCAAGTCATTTTTGTTGACTGTTGTATGAAGAGTTCTCTTTTCAGTGAATTCATATTTAAATCTGTACAATCGTAAGTATATAATTTATTTATCAAGATCCTGACCGTTGTTGCTACCTTGACGTGGTGGTCGGGCTTGCCTATCGTGATGAAGCAACTGAGTTATACTGGCTGGAACAACCGTTCCTCAAGGTCCTACCATGCCAGACAGGTCGGTTAAAGAGCGTTAAGATTAAAGCAACAAAACCAAGGTCCGAAGACGAAATCGTACTGCTGACTGTACAGAGGTGTGACAGCAGTAAGGTGTTTCCTTCAGACAACCAGCATAACAGCGATGCTGCCTTCCCACAAGGAGGGGAGGGGTTAGAAAAGGTCGACCTTGAAAATGCACACCTCGCCTTATCCCACGGATATCCGTCTCCGGCGATAAGGTATCAACAAGTACGGAGCTAACACAAAAACTACTCATAAAAAGGTCGTGTGTGACCGACCTCAAGCAGTTGTCCCTTGGGCACTGCGGTCACGCTCTTAGGTCACTATGACAACCTCTAATCCAACTTCCTTTTCAGGTACCTCCAGCAGAACCCTTCCATGGTGTGGGCAACCGGGAAGTGATAACCGCCCTCATACCTCTAACAGCACTCAAGACCACTGTATTCATAATCAACCTACCTCTTCAATTCCTATTATTCCTCTTACATCGACTTTCAAATCTAAACTCCCTCTTTTAGCTTCCTCCTCAAGTGTCACCACAGCCAACGATTCTAGTGCGCAAAACACTGTCCCAGGTCTACTGAAACCTCGCTCCAAACTACACATTGAAGCCTTTAACGTACGCACACTATGCCAAATCGGTCAGCAGGCTTCCTTGGCTAAAACCTTAGAATTTCGTACGATTGATGTATGCTGTGTCTCCGAAACACGCATACAGGATCCTAGTGTGGTCATTCACTTGACCTCACCTCGGCAAAACGGAGTGCCGACGAGATACACCCTCCGTGTATCTGGCGACCCGATGACTAGCTCTCGTGGACTTGCAGGTGTAGGCATAGCACTAAGCATGAGGGCGGAACAAGCGCTATTAGAGTGGATCCCCGTTAATAGTCGTCTATGCACTGTTCGGCTAAACGGCTCCGTAAGAACTCGAAAGGATAGGGACACACGTCGTTGCCTTTTCGTCGTTTCTGCCTACGCTCCCACTGACTGCAGTTCGGATGAAGTGAAAGATAAATTTTACAGAAAACTCTCTGAACTTCTTCAGAAAGCTAAACGTTCAGACATAGTACTCGTAGCAGGCGACTTTAATGCCCAGGTAGGTAGCTTAAACGAAACAGAAAGACATTTAGGTGGGTATTTTAGTATTCCGGCACAGAGAACAGATAATGGTGATCGTCTGCTGCAACTGTGCTCAGACAATCGTTTATTTTTAGCAAACACAAATTTTAAACATAAGGAGAGACATCGTCTAACATGGCGACCCCCTGCACCAAACCAACGATGGACTCAAATAGACCATATTGCCATCAGTCATCGTTGGAGAGGGTCGATAGAAGATTGTCGCTCATTCTGGAGTACCTGCTTGGACTCCGACCATGCCCTAGTACGAGCACGCATCTGCTTGCGCCTCACTGGACGCAAAAGAGCCACACAAAAAAGACTCATTAGAACCGAATTGAGTAACGAGAAAAGCAAAAGTAGGTTCCAGGAACAACTGAGATCACACTTAGGTAGTTCTGAAAACGAGGCTGACTCAGATGTTGATTGGAAAGACATGCAAGCAGCTGTGGAAACAACAGTGACATCTACTAGTGATTTAAACCACAGGGTTACAAAGAACCAATGGATTTCTTCAAGGTCTATTGCACTGATAGATTCTCGTAAACTCATCCCATCAGGTTCTGAACACAATGAAGAGCGTAAAGAAATCAGATCTAGGTTAAGCAAAAGTCTAAGGAACGATCGTGAGCAGTGGTGGGCAACGAAAGCAAAAGAGATGGAAAAGGCGGCGGCTATAGGGAACACAAGACAAATCTACAGACTAATAAAAGAAACTGGAATTAATAAATCAAGTGTAAGTCAGAGTATTTCGGAAAAAGACGACACTCTCATCTGCTCCCAGTCCAGACGTTTAGAACGATGGGCTGAACATTTTAAGGAGCAGTTCAGTTGGCCTTCAGCTACTCTACAAATACCCTCTATTCCTAGACAGTATGAATGGAACATTGAAGTAGGTCCCCCAACTCTAGCTGAAGTTCAAAAGGCTATAGCTAATCTGAAACGAGGAAGGGCAGCTGGTCCAGACGGATTGGCCCCAGAGGTCTTTAAGGATGGTGGTCTAGTTTTAGCGATCAGGTTGACTAATATTTTAGCTAAAATCTGGGAGTTAGACGTTATCCCATCTAACTGGTCACAATCACTTATCGTCCCAATATTCAAGAAAGGGTCAAAATCATCCTCTGACAACCATAGAGGGATTAGTTTAACTAATATAGTATCTAAAATAACTTCAATAATTATCGGATGCCTAACTAAGACTCGTGAACTGCAAACACGAGAGAATCATGCTAGCTTCAGACCTGGTTGTGGCTGCATTGACCATATATTCACCATTCGTCAGGTTCTAGAACACAGGCATACTTATCGGCGTCCGACAATGGTGGTCTTCCTTGATTTAAAAGCAGCGTTTGACTCTGTTGACCGAGAGGTTCTGTGGCAGTGTCTGTCATTGAAAGGCGTACCTCAGAAGTACATAAACCTTGTGAAAGCTCTTTACTCGAACACTACTAGTCGAGTGAGAGCTTATGGCGAACTGTCATCTGCTTTCGCAACCTCAAGTGGCGTCCGTCAAGGCTGTCCACTTTCTCCATTTTTGTTTAACTTCATCATAGATCTACTGATGGAAATAACGCTCTCATCGACTGAATTCTCAGGTATTGATCTCCTACCAGGAGGTTCACTTATTGACTTAGAATACACAGATGACATAGTCCTGTTTGGTGAAGACGCTGATGAAATGCAGAGTCTTTCGGTAGCACTGAGCAACAATGCCAGAATGTTTGGGATGCGCTTCTCTCCCTCCAAATGCAAGTTGTTGCTTCAGGACTGGTCTGCGTCAACACCTGAACTAAGGATAGGGGGTGAAGTAGTCGAACGCGTTGACAACTTCACTTATCTTGGAAGTCTGATCAGCCCTAATGGGTTGGTGTCTGACGAAATCTCAGCACGGATTCGAAAAGCTCGCTTGGCCTTTGCCAACTTACGTCATCTATGGCGAAGGCGAGATATCCGTCTATCAATTAAGGGACGAGTATACTGCGCGGCAGTTCGTTCCGTCCTTCTATACGGCTGCGAAACATGGCCTTTAAGAGTAGAAGATGCTCGTAAGTTACTAGTATTTGACCACAGGTGCCTTAGAAATATTGCGGGTATCTGCTGGGATCACCGGGTAAGTAATAGTGAGGTTAGACGCAGGGTACTAGGGAATGATGGTAAATCAGTTGATGAGGTTATGAACCTTCATCGACTGAGATGGTTGGGCCACGTGCTGCGTATGCCTGAACACCGATTACCACGGTGCGCAATGGTAACCGGTGTTAGGGATGACTGGAAGAAAGTTAGGTGCGGCCAAACCTAAACGTGGCATCAGTGCTTGAAGTCACTAACTTCTGGTCTGAGCAATGTTGGTAGATGCAGACTACCTGGTTGGGGTCCGCGTGACTATCGTAACCAATGGTTGGAGACTCTTGGTGACATGGCTCAGAATCGATCACAATGGCGTTGGTGTATACACTCTCTGTCTTCCTTTAAATTAAGAGATTAAAATCACTTCAAATCTTTCTTTCTACAAACTAATTCTATCTTCCTGTACTATCTCCTTATACATACTCTTTCTTCTATATATTACCACCACTGAATGAACTACTTCTATGAATCTGGTGTTCATCTTGTTGTGCTAATGCGGTATGGCAACTTGTACCGATGCATATACGTGCCTGGTCCTACGTTGCAGCTGACTGACTGACTGATTTATCAAGATAGTAATTAATCATTGATCTGTCAGTACAGGGTTTTAGAGATTGCTGAGTTTCATTGAAATCTTGAACTGATCATCATGGAGCTTTCATCGTTCTGAACGACATCATCAGCACAAACTTCATAAGTTTCTGAAGCTCAGAGAACAAAAATCTATCAAAATCCTGAACCGGACATCGTTAGATCACCATTATGTCTGTTAATGATGATAATAATAGATTTGCTTAACAATGATAACAGAGAGTTTATATGAATATCTTTGTTAAGAAATTGAAAATGTAGGTTGTAATGAGCTTAAATATTTACCAAGATAATGTTAATAGATTAATAATTATAAAAGAAGGCTTAGGTCATGTGACAATATGAAATGTTGAATTTCAGATGAACTGTAATCAGAAACAGCATGGAAACAGAAATAAGTTGGTTCGTGGTAAAAAATCAATAATGAGAAGAGATAAGCGGAAAGATATGATAACATTAGATTAGCATTTTGGAAAAAATGTATATATCTTGAACTATATAGCTTTGAAAATGAATTCGGATAAAAAAGAACTCTTATCTGAATCAATCTCAATGAATATATTTTATTTATTTACTTGCTTACGCCTGTTACCTGTTGTGGTGAAGAGTAGGCCGCCCACCAGCATTCTTCAACTAATTCAGTCCTACACTTTCTTTTCTGTTTTTTTCCCAATTTCTATTCGTTCTCTTTATGTCTGCTTCCGATCCCCGATGTAATGTATTGTTTGGTTTGCCTCTTTTCTTCCTGCATTGGGAAATCCAAGTTAGGGCTTGCTTGGAGATTCAGTTTGATGGTTTCTGCAATCTGTATCCTATCTACCTCCAGCATCTTTTCCTAATTTCCTCATCAGCTGGAAGCTGGTTTGTTCTCTGATACTTTAGGTTGTTTTTTATATCTGGCAGGGATCTTGAATATCTTGTGTGAATAACTTTTTATACATGCATGTACCTTTTTGATGATGGTTATAATAGTCCTCCAAGTCTAACCCCGTAGAACTGTCTTAATACTAGTATTAAAAATCCTGACTTTGATGTTGATTGACAGATATTTTGAGTTCTATTTACATTGTACTAAATATTACAGTTTTAAAATAAGCCATAAAATAACTGCACAGCTATATTTGATTAAAAAAAAGTAATGATCAGTTAGTTGTATATAGAATATAATTCTTAATTAGGAAAGTGAATTTACTGGTTTGTACTACTTTTACATATCGAATATAGAGACGTTCACTTTAGGTAAGTTGAGAAAAGGTAGTTGCAGCCAACCTTTTACACCTAAACCAATGTGTAACGGAGACCCACACTATCAGTAATGTTAAATACTTCATCGGTATACCAACACTAAGATATTGGTTTATACTTTCAAAGAATCCTATTCAGAAGGAGCCTACAAAGGCTATCGTTTATGCAATCATGTTGTTTAAGATTTACATTTCTCTTCTCCTGAGAGGGTCACAGTTACTCACATGGATTTATCACGTTTTGTATATTGTAAGATAACGATGATCAAACACAGAGACTTGCCAAACACCCTCAGCTTAAAAGAGTCAGTTTCCATATGTATTAACTTGATCAGATTGAAATAACTTGAAAAAATTTGACCATTTAAAATATAAAGTCTACTTGGTCTGAAAACGTTTATTAATTTCAAGTTATAATATGTTGGTGTGTTATTGTGTGTTACTTCAAAACTACTGACATTATGTAATAGAAGTAGTATATTTTTGAACCATCATTTTATTTATTTTCTATTACATTTATTCCATATTTAGAACTTGAAAATCTGAAAAGTTTACTTTATCCACTTCATATATTTCATTTTGAACCAACTGAATCCGAGTGGATATCTTATGGCCCAGGTGGTTCAGCAATTATAGATCAATGGATCTGTGCACATGCCAGGTATTTTATCTGTTAAATACAGATTTTTACACTTTATAAGAATTTATATTTTATCATTAATAATATTAATTTCGTGAATTTCGGTTACTCTTAGTTGGCATATGTGAATACCTTGATATTCCCTTTTTCTACTTACTTTCTTACGCCTGTCACCCCTCATAGTGCAGCATAGACTGCCCACTGGGATTCTACAACTAATCCTATCATTCGTTCTCCTCTTCAGTTTTTTGCAATTTCTATTCATTCTTTTGATGTCTGCCTCCAATTCTCGATTCAGTATGTTCTTAGATCTTTCTCTTTTCCTTTTTTATCTGGATTCCAAGTTGACACTTACCTCGTGGTACAGTTTGGTGGTTTCTTCAATGGATGTTCCATCCACCACCATTAACTTTTACTAATTTCCTCCTCAACTGCAAGCTGATTTGTTCGCTTCCACAGTAGGCTGTTGTTGATAATATCTGGCGAACTGACATTGAGTATCTTGTGTAAACAATTGTTTAGAAAAACTTTACCTTTATGATAATAGTTGTAGTAGTTCTCCAAGTTTCAACTCCGTATAGTAGAACTAACTGACTTGACTGTCATATTGAAGATTGTTACTTTGATGTTGGTTGACAGTTGTTTTGCGTTCCATATGTTCGTGAACTGTAGGAATGCTACCCTTACTTTGTTAATCCTTGACTTTACGTCTGTATCAGATCATCCTTGTTCATCGATGATGCTACCCAGATACGCGAAAGTTTCTACCTCTTCCAGAGTTTGTCTATTAAGTGTGATTGAGCTGGTGTTTTCAGTGTTGTATTTGAGGATTTTGCTTTCTCTCTTGTGTATGTTGAGGTTTACTGATGTAGAGGCTGCTGCTACATTAGTTGTCTCCACCTGGATCTGTTGATGTTTATAGGATAGATGAGCTGGGTCTTCCTTTTACTAGTCATAAGTTATTTAGAAAAGACTGATTCTAGCTAGTAGAGGAATCCAAAATGCACATTTATTCCTATTCTGGCCTTTTCAATTGAATCTACTTGTAACTCGGTGGTGAATTAGTTTCTTTCGATGCAATAATTTTTCTAAATGAAGTCGTGGGTTTATTTTAATTAATTTTATAATTATTTTTACAGCACTTTTAATACTTCTCCATAAATCATGAGTGAATTTATTACTCAATGAATCATAAGCTTTGACTGGAGATATTTCTGGGTGTAACCATACTTTCTGTTGTTTATTTGCAAGCGTCTATTTATAACGTGAGTGTGATGAAACCAGAGTGTTGTTCTTTTATGGAGCTTTCTCTCTTTCCTTTTAAATGAATAAAATTCACGATATTGTGTGACCATCGTCCATCACTTTCAGTGAATAACTCTTTTATACCTGACATAGTTGATCGCACAATCTCATGAATGGGTTGAAGTTATGTTGGGGACGCTAGATCCACAGACCTCACTTGGAAAAGGACCTAATTTTGTAATTTTATTTAGAAACTTTGAATTTCTTTGTTTTCGCACCAAAAGCGCTCTTGTCACCTTCATGTCGTATTTCCCACTTGGGAAATATCTTAAATGCTATTGGTCCTTTGCGTCTTTTAGTGTGCTATTTCGTAACTCTCCCTAAGGACGGTTTTGTGCTGCATATATACGTTTTGATTTATGTTTTTTGTGATCGCTCGTTTCTAGCTGCTTGAAGAATAAAATTCCTCATTCCAAGCTTGGACTTCTTCCTCTAGTTAGCGGGCCTGGGACGCATCAGAATATCTAGCTTATTGGTCTTTGTTCCGTTCGCAGTCTAAGTGAACTCGTAACCACTTCAAACCTAACAAGTTAAATAATAACTAGTGGTTTAGAGTTTAAGCGTTTGTCAATCAAATTGTAAAAGTATAGATTACTTTGTTATATCATTTTAAATACTCATATGTATATATTTGTGTACCTAAATGAAGCTGTCGATACTGCTTATTGTTATGCAGTTGATAAGAGGCAACTTATTAAATAAAATCTCAGTTTGAACTGTTTGACAATGATATAAAAGTTTCATTATTTCGAATTTTTATTTATACTACTAATTAGACTGAATAATTCTGTTCATTAAATTATACGGTTGCTTTTTCAGATCAATTAACGCAAATCATTCGGTCATTTCTTTGATTTTGATTGCATGTTGGTTAGTGAACGACAACTATATTTTCACTTAATAATAGTTCAAAGTTTACTCTAGTGATATTCATGTAGAGATTGGTATCTACCTCAGACAATGGAAGATGATTGCGCAAATTTGCTGGATTGGTTGAAATTAGACATTAACGCCGTTAAGCGTTCGCACGCGAGACCGTAGGTCCTGGGTCCGAATCCCATGTGCAGGATCGTGGATGCACACTACTAAGGAGTCCCATACTAGTAGGAAACAGCCGTTCATTACTTTTAGATTTTTTAATGGTGATCTAACGTTGATTAATTTGTGATCTCAATTAAAAACGTAACAATCTTCATAACCCCATAGTGATAATCATTATCAAGGTTTAATGAGATGTAAATTAGTACATGTAATCGATTCATTGTGACTATTTCAATATATTCAATTTAATTAATGGTAAGATGTGTTATCTGGAAATTATGTGTACTTTTCATTTGTGGCAGACGTTGAAATCACTTCATATCTTTCTTTCTACGTTCTAAATCTTTCTTCCTGTACCATATCTTTATATGTAATCTTTCTTTTATATATTACCACCATTGAATTAACTACTTCTATGAATTCGGTGTTCATCTTGTTGTGCTAATGAGGTATGGCAACTTGGACCGATGCATATATGTGCCTGGTCCTACGTTGTAGCTGACTGTCGAGATTATTAATTAGTCAATGTATAGTATAATATGCTGATCTGTGAAGTTTTAAATTTATATCTGTTTAAGCGGTTGATTTATATATGTTACTTATATCCTAATCAATCACCTACCCTATAATGTCATGAATTGTGACAACTTTTAAACGTTTGTTCTTAGTTCCTTAATTATCTGAAAAATGATTTCATATTATTTCTATACACAATTTTTAATTATACTTGAATGTATACAAACGAATCAGTTAGTTTATACACGTTAATAGTAGACATTGATGTAATAAACTTATACAGCCTATTTCTCAGCGTAAGAAATTTGTCAGTATTGAGAATTGTGGAGATTATTGTATTTTTCAAGTTGAATTCTTAAGTCGAGCTGTGACCAATGGAGTCCAGTCTTTGTCAGGTCCGAGAAAGTTATTCATCTAAGGTAATAGATTAACGGTTGCATAAGATCATGGATTGATTAAAGTTAGAAATCAACACCGTTAGATGTCAACCGGCTCAGTAGTCTAGAGATGAAGCGCTCACGCGTGAGACCGATAAGTCTTGAGTTCGAATCGCTCGAGGCTAGATCGTAGATGCTCACTGCTAAGGGGAATCGCAACATTGGATAAAATGGTCTATCTTCAATGGACTCATAATTTCAACTATTGAAATTACTATAATATCCATAAAACACCTTTTTCTGATATAAATTTTTTTTTAAAAAAAACTGTTATCTAATCAATGAAATCAAATTTAAACAATTAAGCCTAATACAAAAATTTATACAGTAACAATCATATGTTTAACTAAAACAAACTTATCCAAAGGGGAAAGAAAGTTTTCCTCCCCCCCTCTCTCTCTCTCTTCTTATCTAAATAATTGTCCAGAATGTAAGTCATAATAAATTGTTCTATATACATTTTGTAGATCATCTTGTCATGTAATACTGATAAATGTAAATGACTTATTTTTTTTTTAATTTTTCCGCTATCTTTTTTTTATAATATCCTCATATTGTTCCATTATTGCATACCCATCAAAGTATTGAAATCATAAAAAATTGATTGTTTTATGTCTAATTACTTCGTATCTAAAATTCATGATTGTTATGATTATTATTATGATTTTTTTATTCTAAAAATTCAATTTGATTGTTTTTTTTGTTTTGTTTTCGTTTTTTTTTTTTTGTAAATTTTGTTTATATTCAATTCAGATTTTTCAATAGAAAATGATTGTTACCTTTTGTATCTGTGTTTCTATATGTGATTTTGTTAAACTTTATTTGTAATATCAGAAGGGGTGTTTTGTAGATATTATAGTCATTTAGATGGTGGTTGAAAGTAGTCAACAGGAAAGCCTGAACTTTAGTTTCATGCTACTTGGCACTCTTCAGCAAGGAGTACCTGTAATCTTGAGGGAGCTGATGCTCCTTGACGGATTTGATCCCGTGTCACCCAGCTTCACAATCAGAGACGTTACCACTGAGCTATCCTGGCCGCGACCGACATGTAATCTCAACATAGTGCACGCAGTGTCGAGGCACCTAGACTGATGGCCACATTGCAACTTGTTCGATAGCATTCGATCTGCACTAATAAGGACCTGAAACACATGACATTGATCACCACCTAGATTTTCAATAGAAATGTTTGTTATCTTTTGTGTTTCTATATGTGACTTTGTTAAACTTTATTGTAATATAAGAAAGGGGTGTTTTGTAGATATTATAGTAATTTTTTTAAAAAGTTAAAATAATGAATTAATTGATGCTAGATCGTTATGGTAAATCTGAAAGTGGGATGTGGCAAGCGATACTCTGAAATATAGGTTAACCAAAGTAATCAGCAGAACATTCTACGCAACCAATCTTGTGTTGACTTTCTCTTGTCGACCAGCGATGTCTACTCAAACGATAGACAAGTTACCTGAGTTGGCTCCTCAATGTGTATTTACAAATTCAGCTGCTCCTATGGAGATAGCTATATTGGGCGTACTACCAAGCAACTTAACCAACGAATGAGTGAACATCTACCAGCTTGGTTTATAAAGGGCCAAATAAAAGCAATACGCAGTTCTATCTTGGCACATCTTATTCATAGCGGTCGTACTGTAGATAAATCGGAAGCATTTCGAGTGATCTCTTGTATACCTCCATCATTTCCTAACGGAGTTCGTTCCCGTCTCCTACATATAGCTGAAGCCATAGGAATTCGTACATATAACCCCAATTCATGTGTACAGAAGAAATTCGTAACCCCCTCTATCCCTTCCGTGGCTAGTTATAACTTAACAAACGACCCTTTATTTTGTTTTTGTTATCATTACCCATATTTTCACATATAGTATTTGTTTGTAGTTTTCGCCTGTTTCTGTTTGTATTCATCACTATCTAATCATTTACTCACTTCTTATTACATAATGGTTTTAATGTTTTATGATGATTATTTTAAGTCTATTTACCCACGTTTGACCTTCTATTTCCAATGTTTAACTGTTGATATGACTATTGTTATTGTATTTCATTTTATTATTCTTACTACTACTACTACTACTACTACTACTACTACTACTACTACTACTACTACTACTACTACTACTACTACTACTACTACTACTACTACTACTACTACTACTATCAGTAAACCTGTCTTCCTACTATCAACTTGTACTTTTATCTATTATGTGTGGTGACTTATTCTATTTCATTATGATTATTGATTGGTTTAACATTTTCGTATAAATATTCATGTATATTAGAGGAAAGCCTGATGACGATTGAATTGAAAACAACTGTTCGATTACATCTGTTGTTCTAATGAATTATTGGTTACAATCATTGATTTTAAGCCAATTGAATATAGATTAGATTGAAACTTGTTCAATGTATATTGTTTTCAGCATCCGGTAATCATCAATAATCTTATTTAATTAAGTTCGCTTATATGTGTTTTTCTAAATCTGAAAGTAACTGAATGATTATTTCATCCCTATTCTGTGGGATTCGTCTAATAATTCAATTGAATCATATATGTATACATGTAAAATGGATCTTGTCTATAAACTAGTTTATTATTAACTTGTATTCCATTCATTAATAAATTAATAATTAAAATGATAATTAAAGAAATAGTGAACTATTCATGATTAATTATTCTATTTCAATTTGAGATTACAATTTTTTATTGATTTCTGTTAAGATAATTATGATTATTATTAGTCTTTGCTTAAAATAGGATCATTCAAAGATTCAAGTATATAAAACTAGATTTGGTTTATTCGGTTACATTATCGTTTTAACATGTTGAATTATCTTTTATGTATGTACATGTGGATTGGTAATATATATATATATATATTAGTTCATCGGGATGATTAATACCTGTGTGGTTGTGCCACAGGATTGAGCTATACTATTCAGATTTTAGCGTTAAAGCCTATACGATGTCTAGTTCTCCTGTGAAGCAGCATTGAGTTGTACTGCTGGAGTTATAAAATTTAAGCGTGAGCGGTGTCTGGCTCTTCTGTTGAAATGGATTGAGCTGTATTGTTTGGGTTGTCACGTGAAAGTCTGGTTCTCATGAAGAGCAATGTAACATTACCCTGGCCCTTGGGGGTATATATAGTTATATATCATTAGATAGATTGGGAATGCCAGTTACAGTAAAGTCAACTGTATGTATATGTGTATACATATGACACATCTAGTATAGTCTTCCCATTTGCCATTGTTTCTCGTTTTCTGTCTATCTATTTTACTGTATTCTAAATTTCGTCTACATTTTGATTTATGTTTATTGTCATCACACTCGTAAATGTTACTTGGCGCTTTTATCGCATTGAATTAGTTTCAATATTGTTTCCATATCAATAATCACAATCTTTAATAATTACCGTTGGTGATCATTACTATTATTATGTATAAATATAACGATTTTGTTCTCTTTGATTACCTGTTTTGGCTTGGGCACCTGAGCAGTATCATAGCCCTCACACAAATTAAATGAGATTTGTATGGAGCATATGTATTTGGTACCTCCTTGTACCAATATCTGTGTATTTAAATAAATAAATGTTTTTGATTGAGATCATGAATGTTTATCAGTTTATGGGTTATGGAGATTGTCATGTTTTTGATTGAGATCATGAACCGATTAATGTTAGACCACCATTGAAAACCTAGAAGCACTGGACGGCCGTTTCGTCCTACTGTGGGACTCTTGAGCAGTGCGCATCCACGATCCTGCTCGCGCACGAACCGTTAACCTACTGGATGCGCACTTCTGAGGAGTTCCACAATAGGACGAAACAGTAGTCCAGTTCTTCCAGGTTCTCAATGGTGGCGTTACATCATTCTGTTCATGATCTCAATCAAAATAAATGTTTCTTTGATCCGATTCAATTTAATAAACTCAATAGAAATAATTATATGCCTTTCTTTTTTTTAATAGTTAAATTCTGTCTATCAATTAGTAGAAGCACGTAATATTACTCTATGTATGGTTTTCGTTTTTTTTTTTTCGTTGTTACCTATTAATACTACTAATTTACTATTGGTACTACTGTTACTAATATTATTATTATCATTATTATTCTTCTTATTATTATAAATTTAATTGTATTTGCGAATATTCAGTAATTCATTCATTTTTGCTGGGTTTTTTTTCGTAAATGTCATAAAATAGAATATATACGTAGTTGATTACGTTTGGTACCATGGCAACTAAATTATTTTATAGGATTATATCAATTAGGATTTACTTTTCTTTCAACATTTCTTTGCTTCTTTTTATTTTTGTTTTGTTTTTTCAGTAAAGTTGAATAGAATTATTTCAAGTTTATTATGTTCGTTCATTGGTATTTGTTTAGAACTTTAATTATAAATAGATAATAATAGAATATGATATTTTTCATTCTTATGATAATTATAGTTTAATCATTGATTGTGTCAATGAGACAAGAGGCTCTTTTTGGGACTCCAGGCGGAGTTTATATATATATATATATATATATATATATATATATATATATATATATATATATATATTCACTATTGATGGGTTGATGTTTTTATTGAGTTTTTAGTGTAATATATTAAAGCTTGAAATAGAATGAAACGATTATTTAATGGTAAAACATTTGAATTTCTTTCAATTACATTGAGATGTTTGGAGTTGATCAATCTCTATTGTTATGTTTAGATTGTTCAGATCAATACTTACTTACTTATTTACAGGTGTTATTCCTTGTGGGTAACATAGGCCGCTTACTAACACTCTCCATAAAACTCTATCCTAGGTAATCTTTTTCAGTTCTTTCCAGTTGTTATTCATTCTTTTCATATCTGATTCTATTTACCGACATAATGTGTTCTTTGGCCTTCCTCTTTTCCGCTTCCATTCAGGATTCCAAGTTAGAGCTTGTTTCGTGATAAAGTTTGATGATTTCTGTAATGTATGTCCTATCCATTTCCAACGTCTTTTCCTAATTTCCTCTTCAGCTGGAAGCTGGTTTGTTTTCTCTCACAAAAGGCTGTTGCTGATGGTATCCGGCCAATGGATGTTGAGCATCTTGTGCAGACAACTATTGATAAATACTTGTACATGTTTGATGATGGTTGTAGTAGCTCAAAGTTTCAGCTTCGTACAGTAGAACTGTGTTGACGTTGGTATTGAAGATTCTGACTTTGATATGGATATCAATATCCAGCTTAAAAATCTTAAATGAGTTGAAACATGCACTTGATTGACATTACTGCTAGTCATAGTCCATCTCTATTTTTTCTAAAAAAGTAGTTAGATTGTCGATTCAAACATAAATCTCCACACTTAAATTTCAACAGTTCGATAGTGTCACAAATCGAATCCTTAAGAATGTTTAAAGCATTGAATAAGTTTTGTGAAAAGTTCATCGTTTAAACAAGTAAGTCAATGCAACTATTACGTGATTAAAGTGTGATATAAAAATGAAAAGTATTATACAACTAATTTCGTTAACCAAAGATGGATAATAGCTAGCAATGGAATGGAGTTAGACACGCGTTTTGTCCTATTTGGGACTCGTCAGCTGGATGTACCTGCATCTCAGAATTGATGTTCACTCCGAGACTCGAACCTAATACCGTTCGCTTCAAACACCATTGCGTTATCCACTCAGATACTGAATCCTGATAGCCACCTGCTTGTACAGTCGGGTGAAGTTTACAAATCACATGGTATTGTTCTACTTGTATCTTCCTATTGTTATTTAGGACTGTAATTGATCAGTCTGTTATTGGCATATGCACATCCTATGCGGTTTGCCTCGATATAATCATCAGTCATAAACATTATAATCCACCATCGATATTTTGTTATATCTATATATTCACTGGTTTTTTTTTTAAATATTCTATTTAAGATATTTTATTGGAACTAGTTCATCAACATTTACTTATCGTATTATTGAAGAACGTTCTATTATGGGCTTTTTAGTAAATACCACCTTAAATAATTTATGCCCAAATGGACCAATATATTTATATAAACCAAATTATTATAATACAGAATTATCTACATGTCAATCATTAACTGAATGGCCAGTGATTTATGAAAAACAATACACTATCTCATCACCATCATCATTACCAGTGATCAATGAGAAACTACTTTTAAATAAATATAATAAAGATGAATTATGATGATGAAACCGATACAGAATATTATCCATCTACTATCACTATACTACTACTACTACTACTATTGCTGCTGCTGCTGCTGCTACTGGCTTCAATCGTTCTCTCTTTTATGTTCCTTTCTATTTTGTTTGTGACTCTCATTATTATTTAGATTATTATTATTATTACTGTTTTCTTTTGTGTATATATATATATATATATATACATATGTATGTTTGTATAGCTGAATATGTTATGCTAAGATGTCAGATCTTCGAAAGTGAAAAATATATTATTTATTTTAATGATTAATCGTTTGTTGTATCGTTATTTTTTTTTTCAATGTTCAATTTTTAATGGTCGCCTATATTAGACTATTAGTGCCATGATGTATATTATGAAGTTCAACAGATTTTATATACTCACTTCTTGTTTAGTAATAATAATCATATGCTTATTCACTGGTTACTAACTAGAAGAGGTAGATTCTAAGAGTTCTTGTGAGATGCCGTGACTAATAGAGTTCAACCATGTTGGATATGAGATAGTTATTCATCAATGATATCGGCAGATGATCGTGCAATACCATAAATTGATTGAAGTTAGAAATATGAATCATCAAATGTTGACTTGGTAGTTTCAAGTTTAGACACTTAGTGCGAGACCTGAAGGTCATAGGTTTGATCCTTGGTGACACTTTGCGTACGCACTACTTAGGAGTCCTATAATAACACAGAGGAGATGACCAGGTGTTCCTGGTTTTTAATAACTATTAAATTAGAATCTGTCTGTGACGTAAATTATGTTGTTTTTTAATCAAGAAACTCCTTTCAGTTATTTCGCTTTAATTTTTATATCTCACAATAACTAAGGCAGTGAATCTTTATCAACCGCGAGGTAGTTGGGACAAGTACTACGTATACCTAACCGCCTACCTCAACGTTCTAGTTTTGCTAGTCTAGGAGTAGGTTGATAGAAAAATAAGTGTAGTCGGACCAGGAAGTGATATCATTTTTCAAGGTAATTAACTTTTGGATTGCGTCATGAAGATGAGTGCAGACTACCTGGTCAGTGTGATTTTCGTAACCAATAGTTGGATACATTGAATAACATATCTTACAATCGGCTGAAATAACCCAGATGCATTCATTGTTTTTCTTTTCTTAAATCTTGAGCTTAAAGATTATCTTATACATTTTATTCCATGGATTCATCATATTTTCTCGGATTATATTGTCGATAATCTTATCTTTTCTACTATCACAATTTCCAACCCATTTTTCTTCCTAGTTTCTATTTAACTCCGAATATATACTGTGGTAACTTGGGTTGATGCACATATGTATCAGGTTCTTTGTTTATTACTGACCATACAAGATTTTTTATATATATATTGCTGAAAAATAAAACTGCCCTAGTAACCACATATCATTTTGTTTTCTGTCCTGAAATTAATCTTAAAAGTGAAACTTATTTCATAGTTCCCATTTATTTTTGATTTGTGTACATGTAAAAATTAACTAAGACAGTCAGTATATCAAATGTTCAATATAATGGACATATACATGAAACATTTTATTGGACCAAATGAATTATTTATTGACTTGTGGATAAATATAATAGAAAAAAACTAGCTTTATTATAAATCGATATGATAATCTATTAATTATTATATAAAAAAGGCATATATAGTGTTCACTGGCCATCTGAACCTGGTACTGATATACAAGCTCAATCTGTTACTTCACATTGAAATATTTGCAAAAACCCATCCATGAATATAAATTGGTCTCTCCCAGGATTTCCAACCAATAGTGTATATCTGTTACTTTAGTAAGTCAAACCAAATATTGACAAATGTAGCATGCATACGCAAATAATCATTTGTCCTTGAACTGATGTATCCTATTGGTCCAGTGTGTTTCTGTTTCAGTTTATCGATAATTCTGTGGAACAGATTAATTTATTGTTAAACTAATCACTATAAAGCATTCGACTATTATTTTGTGGTAACCAAATATTTGTTGTATTATAAATAAGTAATTGTTTAATTTGTTTATTCTGGTTACCAGTTTTTAGCAAGGTTGTTTTCTACAAAATGAAGTTGCTGACTCCATACCCAATCTTGCTCCTTTACTTGAGCTTGAAACCGTCAGTAATCCAAGAATGCTGTTGGACAGTTTATGTTCCTCCATAAGGGGTAACAGGCGAAAAATGAATAAGTAATATTTCATTACAAATCACACAACAAGTATTATCTTCAAATATTCTTGTGGTTTGGTAAAATATAAAGTATTAAAATAGTAGAGAAGAGCGAGTGTGTTCGTATTATTCAATGCATCCTGTTTCATTATGAACGTATTATTTCACCGAATCATATCATTCACCTACCCACTTGATATGCTTCATTCATTGGATTAGATTATTTTAGGCGATTAGTTTTTTATGAATGAGAAATATTTTCTTAAATGTCTATTTCGTGTCACTCTTCAGTTTTTCATTGAGATCATGAACCGATTGATGCTAGACCACCATTGAAAACCTGTAAGCACTGGACGGCCGTTTCGTCCCATTGTGGGACCCTCAGTAGTGCACATCCATGATACCGCTCACGAGATTCGAACCCAGGGCCTTCAGTCTCGCGCGCGAACGCTTAACCTACTGGACCACTGAGCTAGCCGACATCCAACGGTGTTAATGTCTAACCTCAACCAATCCACGAAGTTGCGCGGCCATCTTCGATTGTACTGAGGTAGGCACCAGTTTCTACCCGACATGGATTAGCTCCACTGGTCACAACTTGAGGTTAGACATTAACACCGTTGGATGTCAAAAGATGTTGAAAGAAGGTTGTGAGTATTGAACTGAATAAAACAGAAATGAATGGAGAATCGGAGTAGTCATGAAGGATGCAAAGTAAGAATAATGGACGATTCACAAATGAAGTATTAAATGTATGGTTTTCATATTTTAAGGAAGAACTCTGTAACTTGGCATTAAACAATAAATTCATCTTTTCCACCTGAGTCTTTGTTAGCTACACAACTGTTTCAAATATTATTGATTATCTGGCCAGTTATTTTGTATTATTCATTCAGGCTTACATCTAATAAACTAGTTTCTTCAATATACGATTAAAATTCTTTAAGTCGTCTGGTGTGTGACAAAATCTCAGCACGGATACAGAAGGCTCGACTAGCTTTTGTCAATTTACATCATTTACGGCGTAAGCAAGATACCCGTCTACCAAACAAAGGACGACTTTATTGCGCAGCAGTTTTTTCTGTCCTACTTTATGGCTGCAAAACATGGTCGGTAAGAGTAGAGGATATTCGTAGGTAGGTGTCTTCGAAACATTGTTCGTATATCCTAGGACCACTGAGTAAGTAATGTAGTTGTTACGAAACGGGTACTACCTAAGGATGGAAAATCAATTGATGAAGTAGTGAAACTTCATCAGTTGGGAGATGTGTTACGTATGCCCAACCACCAACTGCCCCGACGTGCGATTTTTCATGGTGTAGAAGTAGGTTGGAAGAAAACTAGGGGTGGCCAGATCAAAACATAACACAAATCCATGAAGTCTATGAAAAGTGGACTGAGCCATGTTGGTAGGTGTAGACTACCTGGTTAGGATCCGTGAGACGATAGCAACCGATGGTTAGGGACCTTGAATGACAGGGCTGAAAATCGTTTGCAATGGCGCAGGTGTATCCACTCTCTTTGTTCTCCCGAATTCTAGTCTTCTGAATTCTCCATGTCCCTTTTTATCTCTTTCCAGATTTATTTCACTGGACTATACTTCTTGAATAACATCTCCGAACCTAGTGTTTCCGATTACTGCTTATACCGTTACTACCTATACCACTACGGGATTTGAATTGACAATTGTAACTTTTTGCTAATGTGGTATGGCAGCTCGAACTGATGTACGTACGTACGAAGTTCTACGTTGTTGATGACTGACTAAAATCGTAGATAGAGAGATAAATTGTTTAAGTTACAATAAATTTCCATCACGGATTGTGGTACTTTTGTGACCCTATATTTGACTACAGTTAAATCGTATGATGAGTGTTATCGAATCATAAATGCCGTCAACCCACATATTTTTTATCGACGTAATTCACATTAGAGAATAACGGAATAAGTTAAATACGAGAATTAATTCTGAATATGTATAATTCATACACCCACTGATCTAGACAGACAATCAGATAAACGAAGTGTTGCTCAGAGAAGGCGAGTGAACCAACTCGCTTTGATCACGCGTGACTCGATACTTATATTTAGACAAAAATAAATTAGACAAGTAATGAAGCAAATACTAACTAGGTATCATATGAAGGGAAACGGGAAATAGGAAAACCAAAATACATTTTGTGAATTGAAAAGGATTGTCCATGACAGGATTGGATGAATAAAGCAAGTGATCGGTCCCTGCTCCTCCACGAGGGGTAACAGTTGTCGAAGTGTAATTTTGCAACTTGAACCGATGTACATATCTATCACGTAATACGTTGCTTATGAATGAGTGAATCGATACAATAAAATTCAATTGTCTATATGTTATAATGTCTTCCAGAAAGAGATAATGAAAGTTCCACGATCAAACCATTCATTTCATATAACATAATTTTACAAACGTATTGCTACAGTTTTGGTGTTAGTAGATAGAGTGGAAAGTTATCGAATAATGAAGTGATCAATCTGTCAAAACAATCATTCTGATTATAGTGGTTCATTAACTGAGCCAAAATGAAAGTGAAATGGAACAATGTAGGATATAAGACAATAATATGTTATGAGTTAACGCAAATGGAACTCCTCAAATCAACACGTGATTGAAGCTGTGAATATCGACGCATTCGAAAAACAATTGAATAGACTGAGAAACCCCTATTGCCATGATTACCAAAAATCATCCGACCTTCTTTCCTTTCAAAACAGAAACTACATCTACCATACTGAACATCAATATCACCTCGGTCTCCAATTATCAATTGCGACTAGCGCAGTGACATTATCCAGGAAAGTAATCATATGAGTAATGTCAAGAATTGGTGTGACATGTGATCTTCAGTTGATGGAGTGACAAGTTTGGCTCTATGCTACGAATTCTGATTCGAACAACTGAGTTGTATCTATTTTTCACGAAT